GAACCTATGCTTATTTTTTCTAGCGCTACAAATAAAAACCGCACAGACGATCGAATACGAGTGAAAAAAAGCTCAATTCATGGGAAAAAGGATGTAAATTTCATTAGGGTGCAGCATTGCATGACCGTGCAATTGTCAGTTAAAGTAATGCAGCACTGTAACACAAAAAATGGCCTGGTCAGGAAGGGGGGTAAATCCTCACACAGGCAAGTGGTTAATGATGGTTTAGGGAAAAACCTCCTATTAGGAGTATATATGACCTCAACAATGAAAGAGTAAAATATTTGTATGGTAAAAAGTATAGGTCTACTTTTCATGAGATGAGAAACCTAGTTGAAGTAATAGAGAAAGGCTATAAAAGTACACTTGAAATGTATTAATAGAGCCTTTATTTCTACAGCTAGATACTCTGTATAGAATGGTGATAGTAATTGTTGTTGTTGCGTGAAGTGGATTTCCTAATCAAATGTTAAATCATATGCTATTTAATGGCAGTAAGATTAGAAGGCTTTGGAATAGAATTGCTAGTTGGGCAAGTGGATTAAAGCAGAATTAAACTTTGCAGTGCTCTGATGTTCACAACCTTCTTTGTCCCTCCATCGCTGGTGCTTCTATTTCCTCAATATCTTCTTCTGGAAATATTAGTCAGGATGCCATAACTTCATTGCATGGGCATGAGAGTTACTTGATTCCAGAACCCATCACTTACTCCTGGGAATATATGGTAAAATGATTTATTAATATGTTAAAAAATATCTGAAGAATATATTTTATTATATATATATATATATATATATATATTATATATATATATATATATATATATAAATATATATTTTTAAAATATATTCTTCAGATTTTTTTTAACATATAAAAAAGTAATTTTAACATATATTTTTGCATATATTTGTAAATGCATTCCAAAAATGTAGATTTGTATTTTTAAAGACATACAGTATATTTGAAATGTATTTTTAAAAATATTTTTCATATATTTTGAAATAAAAACATATTTCAACATGCAGTATATATATATATATATATATATAAATATATTGAATATGGGCAAACATTTTAGCATTTCAGATACAGTGAGGAACAGAAGTATTTGAACACCATGCGATTTTGCAAGTTCTCCCACTTAGAAATCACGGAGGGGTCTGAAATTCACATTGTAGGTGCATTCCCACTCTGAGAGACATAATTTAAAAAAAAATTCAGGAAATCACGATGTATGCTTTTTAAAGAATTTATTTGTCTTGCACTGCTGAACATAAGTATTTAAACACCTAAGAAACAGCAAGAATTCTGGCTCTCAAAGACCTGTTACTGTGCCTTTAAAAAGTTCACCTCTACTCCACTCATTATTCTAACTTAGTAGCACCTGTCTGAGCTCTTTAAAGACACCTGTCCAGCGCACAGTCAGTCAGACGCCAACTACTACCATGGGCAAGACCAAAGAGCTGTCGAAAGACACCAGAGACAAAATTGTGGACCTCCACAAGGCTGGAAAGGGCTACAGGGCAATTGCCAAGCAGCTTGGTGAAAATAGATCAACTGTTGGAGCAATTGTTAGAAAATGGAAGAGGCTAAAGATGACGGTCAGTCTCCCTCGGACTGGGGCTCCATGCAAGATCTCACCTCGTGGGGTATCACTGATGATAAGAAAGGTGAGGAATCAGCCCAGAACTACAAGGGAGGAGCTGGTCAATGACATGAAGAGAGCTGGGACCACAGTTTCAAAGGTCACTCTCGGTAGAACACTACGCTGTCATGATTTCAAATCATGCATTGCACGGAAGGTTCCCCTGCTCAAGTCATCACATGTCCAGGCCCGTCTGAAGTTTGCCAATGACCATCTGGATGATCCAGAGGAGGCATGGGAGTAAGTCATGTGGTCAGATGAGAGCAAAGTAGAACGTTTTGGTCTAAACTTCACTCGTCGTGTTTGGAGGAAAAAGAAGGATAAGTTGCATCCCAAGAACACCATCCCTACTGTGAAGCATGGGGGTGGTAACATCATGCTTTGGGGGTGCTTTTCTGCGAAGGGGACAGGACAACTGCACTGTATTAAGGAGAGGATGAATGGGGCCATTTATTGTGAGATTTTGAGCAACAACCTCTTTTCCTCAGTCAGAGCATTGAAGATGGGTCGTGGCTGGGTCTTCCAACATGACAACGACCCGAAGCACACAGCCAGGATAACCAAGGAGTGGCTCCGTAAGAAGCATATCAAGGTTCTGGAGTGGCCTAGCCAGTCTCCAGACCTAAATCCAATAAAACATTTTTGGAGGGAGCTGAAACTCCGTGTTGCTCAGCGACAGCCCCAAAACCTGACAGGTCTAGAGGAGATCTTTGTGGAGGAGTGGGCCAAAATACCTGTTGCAGTGTGTGCACTGATTTTCTCAGGTGTTCAAATACTTATGTTCAGCATTGCAAGATAAATAAATTCTTTAAAAATCATACAATGTGATTTCCTGAATTTGTTTTTTAAATTCGGTCTCTCAGAGTGGGAATGCACCTAAAATGTAAATTTCAGACCCCTCCATGATTTCTAAGTGGGAGAACTTGCAAAATCGCAGGGTGTTCAAATACTTCTGTTCCTCACTGTATATAGCAATATATTTGGGAAGAATATTTTTAAAGTATATTTCAAATATATTTTTTCTTCCATATGGGTATAAACACACATCTGGTGTTCAAAATGGAGGAGAGCTTGCTGCTGGAAGCTGAGACCTTCATTGGTCTAATTCGTGGCCACCCCTGCATCTATGATCCCAGGGATCCCATTGTAATGGCTGGGCAAGAACCATTAGACCCAGGAGGAAGGCTGCCACCTGGAACAGCTCCCCAAATAAAGGAGAAAGTACAGAACATGGAAGAAGCTTGCTGCCACCCTGGAACAGCTCCCCAAATAAAGGAGAAAAGTACAGAACATCTGTGTACAGCAACCATGTGCTTGATTATGTTTTTCCTGTTGTGTGTGCCTAGGACTTTTCTACAGCATTTCTTGCAGGCATGTCATTCAGGTATGGTTTTCCTACTGTTTTTAACTTCATATCTTGCTCTGGAAGTTTTGTGGAAACTTGCAGCTGTATTCATTTCCAGAAGTGTCATCCAGCCATGTAATAAGTCTCCATCCTGTGTAAACCTGTCTAGAAGTTTTCTGCAACTTTTCCAGAAAGCAGAGCAAAGTTATGTACTTTATTCATTTATTTCAGGTACTTATATAGTGTCATCAATTTACGCAGAGCTTTACATATATATTGTACATTCACATCAGTCCCTAACCCTCAAGGGGCACACAATCTAAGGTCCCTAACTCACATGCATACATACACATACTAGGGCCAATTTAGACAGGATCCAATTAATCTACCAGCATGTCTTTGGAGTACGAGACCGGAGTACCCAGAGGAAACTTGCATGTTCTCCCTGTGTCTGTGTGGGTTTCCTCTGGGTACTCCGGTCTCATACTCCAAAGACATGCTGGTAGATTAATTGGATCCTGTCTAAATTGGCCCTAGTATGTGTATGTATGAATGTGAGTTAGGGACCTTAGATTGTATGCCCCTTCAGTTTGCATACTCCAGCCAGGTGGTGCCATGATTGGGATTCAAACTGACAACCCTAGTACTGCCACACAGAAGTTCTAACCATTTAGCCTCTTTGCTGCCCTTGCACTTGCACATCCTCGTCTTATGTCATATGTACACAGGTTTCTATTGGCCACATGAAAAATGAATGAAAAAGAGCCTGACATATTTGAAATTCTGCTCAAAAAATGCTGGAAAATCCTCATCAATTTTTAAGACAGTACCTGAAAAAGATTGGCCATTATTGCAGATCATGAATGACAAACTAAGATCACATTTCCTCCAGTCATTTTGCAGCATCTGAGGTTTTAAAAGGAGGCAATGGTATAACTGTGGAGACAACAGACAGATTGCAGCCACCTTCACTGGTGTTGTGTGCTCTTGAGTTAGTGGCTCGAATGTACATGGATAAATTAGTGGCTTACATCATGAAAAGTTCAGGGGGAAACAATTCAGAGGAAGCTGCAATCAGATACTTTCCTGTACTCATCTCTTTTAGAGAATCCCTACTTGTTCCATCTAAAAAATGCTTTAGGTTTTTTCAGATATGTGACTTTTGTCCAAATTCCCTGGACAGGGAAGAAGAGTTCTGCTGGAATAGTTCATATCTGGTCTACCGCCTCCAGCTCTGACTCAGCAGGGGGCATGACACACCACTTCAGAGAGACCACTGCTTCCACAAAGAGAACAAGGGTCTTTCTCTGCAGAATTTTGGCAGGGAATAGGCTGTGACAGCTTTCCGAAGATTTGATTTAGATTTTTCTTCTGTTCGCTCACTTTGCATTTTTTAAATTGTTAAAAATACACAAGTAAAAAAAGTCGAAAAACAAAAATAGCTCATACGAAAAAAACAGCACGTTGGATCCCGCACTTTCAATTGCAGCATGAAAATCGTGTGCCGCAGCTGGCACACTAATGATGCAAAAAACAAACGATTCAACATTTGGCACAAATTTTGTTCATTTTCAACTTGTCTATAGCCTGCCTAATTTAATTTGTATACATCACATAATGTAGCCACCATCATCTCCGATTGAAGAATTTAGCTATATTTCATGAAGGTGTTTTGGGTCCAGCAGCACAGGTTTGTTAATACTTTTGTAGTTCAGCAATTTGTATATGTAGTAATGATGATAATTCACCTATAATTTCATGTAACATATTCTATTGGGGCCCATAATGGAGGCTTTCATTTTGTGAAAAACATCTTTATATCTGATAAAATGACAAATATTTAACCACCTTCCGACTGCCATATAGTACAATGACGGGTGCAAGGTGGTTCTCTCATTCTGATAGGACGTCATATGACGTCCTTCCATTCTCACCGCGCATGCGCGGCGATCGCCGGTGCGCTGTGTCTCTCGGACACAGCGGATCACGGAAAGAGCCGAAGATGTCGGCTCGGTCATGTGATCAGCTGTGTCCAATCACAGCTGATCATATGTAAACATGGAAATGCCGGTTATCGGCATTTCTCTCCTCTCGAGCTGTCACGCTGACAGTTCGAGAGGAGAGGAGAGCCGGTAATCGGCTTTCCGTGGAGGGGACATGTGCACTGATCATCAGGGCACTGATGATCAGTGTGCCCTGATGATCAGTGTAGCCCCAGCAGTGCCACCTGTCAGTGCTCATCAGTGCCACGTGCCAGTGCCCATCAGTGCCACATCAATGCCACATAGTGCATACCAGTGCACATCAATGCCACGTATCAGTGCCCATCTGAGCTGCCTTTCAATGTCACCCATCAGTGCCAGTCAGTGCCACCTATCAATGCCAATCAGTGCCACCTATCAGTGCTGCCAATCAGTGCCACCTATCAGTGCCAGTCAGTGTCGCCTATCAGTGCGCATCAGTGCTGCCTATCAGTGCCAGTCAGTGCCGCCTATCAGTGCCAGTCTGTGCCGCCTATCAGTGCCAGTCAGTGCCGCCTAACAGTGCCAGTCAGTGCTGCCTATCAGTGCCATATATCAGTGTAATGTATCAGTGCGGCCTTTCCGTGCCCATCAGTGATGCCTGTCAATGCCCATCAGTGCAACCTGTCAGTGCTCATCAATGCCACGTATCAGTGCCCATCTGAGCTGCCTTTCAATGTCACCCATCAGTGCCAGTCAGTGCCACCTATCAGTGCTGCCAATCAGTGCCACCTATCAGTGCCAGTCAGTGTCGCCTATCAGTGCGCATCAGTGCTGCCTATCAGTGCCAGTCAGTGCCGCCTATCAGTGCCAGTCTGTGCCGCCTATCAGTGCCAGTCAGTGCCGCCTAACAGTGCCAGTCAGTGCTGCCTATCAGTGCCATATATCAGTGTCATGTATCAGTGTGGCCTTTCAGTGCCCATCAGTGATGCCTGTCAATTCCCATCAGTGCAACCTACCAGTGCCAATCAGTGCCCATCAGTGCCACCTATCATTGTCCATCAGTGCAGCCTATCAGTGCCCATCACTGCAGCCTCATTAGCGCACATCAGTGAAGGAGAAAAATCACTTATTTACAAAATTGTATAACAAAAACTTAAGAAAAAATGTTTTTTTTTTTCAAAATTTTCAGTGGTTTTTGGTTAGTTTAAGAAAAAATAAAAATCCCAGAAGTGATTAAATACCACCAAAGAAAGTTCTATCTGTCTCAAAAAAATAATAAAAATTCCATATGGGTACAGTGTTGCATGACCGTGCAATTGTCATTCAAAGTGTGACAGCGCTGAAAGCGGGAAATTGGCCTGGGCAGGAAGGGGGTATAAGTGCCCTGTAGGCTAGTGGTTAAACAGTATATGAGCAAGAAGTAGTACCTAACTAAATTTCAGATATTCGATTTGAATTGAATTTAAATAAAAAATTTCAGCTGATATTTTCAATTCGAAATCCATTAGAAAATGAATAAATGAAACTAAACTAAACGATTTCCAAAAACGGATCATCTGAGTTTACTGAATTCAACGTAATGGAATTAGTAACTTTAGGAATTGACCTGAAACAGAACAAATTCTGCATTCTGCACGTGTCCAGTGACGTCTGCTGAATCTGGGTCCCACAAGAGAAGTATGGTCAAAAGACCTTTCACAATACTTCTCCTTTAAAACAAACGTCATATCTACACCCCTTTTTTATCCTGCTGAGTGTTCCAGGATGATCCCTACGAATCTGGGAACAAAAGCACAGCAGTTTCCACATATATACACATATATACTTGGAACATTATAATTATTATACAGGATTTATATAGCGCCAACAGTTTGCTCAGCGCTTTACAATATAAGGGAGACAGTACAATTACAATACATTTCAGTACAGAAGGAATATGAGGGCCATTTCAGTACAGAAAGAATACGAGGAAGGGGGAGGTAATACAAAAGGCGATAGCTGCGGGGGATGATCTGGTGGAGGTGATTCAAGGTTCTTAGGTGGAGGTGTGTAGGCTTCCCTGAATAAGTGAGTTTTCAAAGATCGCCTAAAAGCAGACAGGGTGGGGACTGACCGGAAATACTGCGGTAGGGAGTTCCAGAGGATGGGAGAGGCTCTGGAGAAGTTCTGGAGGCGAGCATGGGAGGAGGTGATGAGGGAGCTAGAGAGGAAGATGTCTTGGGAGGAGTGGAGTGGATGATTTACATATAACATATACTGTATACTCTTAAATACAATATATGGGCAAGCATTTGTTGACCTGCAAGCTTTTGAGATCAGATATTTCCATGGAAAGGTTGTTTCTACAGTATGCAGAGACCACTGTGCTTGTGGCCATAGTTTGGGACCCTTTTGTGTTCCAGCATGACTGTGCTCCTGTTTTCTAAGCCATCTCTATAAACACATGGTTTGATGTGTTTGCTGTGGAGAAACTCAAGAAGCCTGCACAAAGTCCTGTCCACAACAAGAATAATTAGAAATTTAGGTCCCCAAGAGCTGTTCACTATAATGTGTAAGTGTGGGCGGTATGTTTTCACAATATGGAACTTACCAAGCAAAGGCTAGTGCTGCTTTGTCCAAGCTGCCCTTCATTGCCAACGCTTCCATCTTCATCCAATCTTCTTCTGGGTTCAGGGTTTTCAGTCATCTTGATTGGTCGAGGCCAGGATGATGTAACTCCTGTGCATGTACATGGAAGTTTCTTTGTTGTGGCACAGATTTGCACTGAGCTGTGTATGTGCAAAAGGGGAAGTTCCGCTTTAAGGACTGCTCCCCCCCCCGCTCCCCAATAAGGATTGGCACCTTTGGGGAGCGGGGTACTCGAATTTGACAGGTACCCACTCCCACTTCTAGTCCGATTGCCTAGGCAATCAGAAATGGAAGGTGTCCTCCCTCCCTCCCTGTAGTCTTTTGGGACACGTGACAGGTCCCAGAAGACTACAGCACCATTCATGAAGCACAGCGCTACTCACGCATGCGCAGTGGGTACCCGGCTGTGAAGCCGCAAGCTATCACAGCCGGATGCCCACACTGAAGATGCCGGCCTCCTGGAATACAGGACGGCCGGTGAAATGAGCTGCGGAGGACACACCATGGGACCGAGGGACAGGTAAGTGGCTGTTTTTTAAAAGTCATCAGCTACAGTTTTTGTAGCTGGTGACTTCTATTTTTTGATAGGTCAAGTGGAACTCGGCTTTAAAGAAAAATATGTTGACAAGCAGGTAAAAGCCTGATGATAATGATGAAAATGACAAAAGAGACATACACAATCTACCAGTTAGTCCCTTTTAAAGTAAACGGTTTTAGTTCCACTTTAATGAACAAAACAAATAAAAATTAAAGAGTTTAAACATTAATAATTAATGAAAAAGAAGAAATATAATGTAAAACACTGGAAAATAATAGTTAAGGGCTTATTCACATGGTCATACACCACCCAGATGAGCATATTTCTAAAGCAGGTATAGCCAGGTGTTTCTGCTCAGATGCAGCCGCAGCTGTACGTCTGTAATTGCTCATGAAGTGATTACCTGCAATAATGGACAGTTGAGCAGCCCCGGACATAGACTGAGTACAGACCAGCTCAGTACGTGCAAACAGCCATGTAGCGTATGAGCCTGTCATTGATTTGCACAGGCTTTCTGTTCAAAGCTACACGAACACCTGACTGTACCTGTGATGGTCGTGCATACTGGGCACACAACAGGCTGTGTGTATACCAGCCATGTTGCTCAAAATTCAGCCATTACATTTTATTTGTCATTTTCTTTTCTGTTTTAAAACGAGAGACCCCAGCAGCTGTGATCCCCCCCCATTTCCAGAACATAGCTACAGTTTCAAAGGTGCCTTGAGTAAACAAGGGTCTATTTCTTCAAAGAACCGGTTGTCTCCACTTAGGCCACACTTTTGGCAGGGTCTGCTATTAATAAAACTCCTACAGTTAATCACTTTCCTGAGGGGATTGGAAGTGACTTAAGTAAAACTGTAACCAAAATCCTTCAGTTCTGTCACCCGTGGTTTGTAGGACAATTCAATCCATTTGGAATACGTAGTACCAAAACACCTCCCAGGGGGACTTTATTGCAGCAATGTGATATTACACGTATATCCAAGGGAACGTTTTTGTAAAAGGCTTATTAGCTTTATTACATACAAATGTTTTATATAAAATACATAGATTTTAAAGGAACATCGCTCCAACAATATTCTTACAAAAAAAACTTTCTTTACAAGGTCAAAAATCACTCAGGAAGGAAGAGAAAATTGCCCTGACACGTTTCGATCATTCCACATTTTAGATCTTCTTCAGGGGGCATAAAGACAAGGAAAGTTTAAAGACATATGTCAGAGCAATTATAGAATAGATGACATCTGGGATGAAAACACATGGATCCAGGTCCCAGCGGAATGTACCATCCAAGAAAGCAAGGGTGGACAGATGTAAATCACCAGGAACCAAAGGCAACTAGGAAGCACCAAATAACCCCCTAACTGGACTGTAGGCAATATAAAAAACAAAATGAATTAGATTCAATAAGTAAATAAAACTAATTGAATAGACCTGATGGTCTGAGGATGGATGAGGTCTATTCAATTAGTTTGATTTACTTCTTGAGGCTTGAGGCAACCTTTCAGAGACCCCTGTCCAATTCACAATTTAACAAAATCCACATAAAATTAGACTGGACCACAACACGTTAATATTAACCTCCCTAGCGGTGTGATTATGTCAGTATTTCTGTGCTCAAAGCGGTACATTTTTTTGCATGGAAATATGTCATTTTTTTATTGTAGGCCTGTAATTTTTAGGAATAACTCACTGAAATCTGTCTGAACAAGAGTCTAGTAAACATCCCGAGTATGTTAAAATTTGAACCACAAAATCATAAATTATAATTTAATAAATAATAATAAAAAAAAAAGAATATAATAATAATAAATTTAATTCAATAATATAATCAAACCAAAAACACTGAAATTTGAAATAGAACGCCAAGTTCGCACATCACTGAGCAAAGTTGCAAAATCGTTTTCAGTGTCTGATAACGAATTTCCCCCACGAATCATTATCACTCAATTCTGCAAGTGGTTCTAATTTACTATCACTGTTTTTTAGCTGGTCTAAAACCGCTTTTGACCTAAAGGGACGCTTTTTGGACGCCATGGACATTTCTCAGTTTCAAGGTGGAAAGAACAGTAAAAATGCAGGCAGGGCACAGGACAAAGCACTAGGGACTAAATGTATGTGAAATGCTTTGATACAGTAATGTTTTACTATGTGATTTTAGTGTATTTAGTGAATGTCACTTTTTGACATTTTTAAATTTCCCGCGGTTCCGTCCCCGTACGTCCTGATGTTGCAGGGAACGGAACCCAGAAGACAGATGCCGTCATCTGTCATTGCAGGGGACACTGCAGGAGGGA